GAGCAAGACCTGATCTGCAGCGTCCACTCAGTCATAGCTCAAAGGTCTATGGCAGTGTGAATGGACAATGCTTAGCACGAAAGAATAATGTACTTGTGAAACTTGTGCGGCGCTTTTCCAACCAACAGCACCGGTTTAGCACCTAACCAAGGTGCAACATGTCAACCCAAACGCCCACCACAACCGCCCGCCCACAAATGTCCGGACTGTCACATCGACGCTGGAACTCTTATCGCTTCATTCATGAAGCACAATTGACATCAAGCGCTGCTGTATGGACATATGAACACATATATGCAAGCGTGTCTGTCAAAATGGTTATCGACATGATACCAACGGGAACTCGTCCAAAAATGCTCACTGTACACTAGCCACTGCCGCGCAGAACAAAGGTTTTTCGCAGAATTTTGACTGACTTTGCTAGCTCGCCGTTCTCCCACTGCATAGCACTTCCCGCTACTGTTAAGAACAAGTACGAAATTGTGGTGCCGGCGCAGTTCGGCGACGGGGGGGGGGCATTTTGTACTATCATTGCTTCCTTAGTTCCGGTTTACAAGTCTCACTCTGGCGAAACCTGTGAACTCTTGTGAAGCTGGAGCAAGGTCAAGCCATCATGGTAAAACCTGTCAACTCGAGAAGAGGCTGTCTAGATGGGTCGACACGTCGATGGGAAGTAGCAAAAGTGCAAAATGCCCCCCCCCCGTCGCCGAACTGCGCCCTTTTCGCTGGATTTTGGCCGACTCCGCTTTTTCGTCATTCCTCCACTACATAGCGAGTAAGAACCCGTCGAACCTTATGCCTTTAAAATTTCAATTTATCAGCCCGAGAAAAAGAAACTGAGCGAACAGCCCGTTTTCAATGAAACAGGGTGTTCTCCATTCAAAATTCAGAATATTTATTGGAAGAAACTTTAGCTGCTGTAGGTGTTTTGACCCTCTGAGGCGCAGTTCGGCGACGAGGGAGGCATTTTGCACTTTCACTGCTTCACTAGTTCCGGTTCACTCTGGTGAAACTTGTGAACTCTTGTGAAGCTGGAGCAAGCTCGTCTAGCCACCATGGTAAAACGTGTCAACTCAAGAAAAGGCTATCTAGATGGGTCGACACATCGATGGGAAGCAAAATGCCCCCTCCCCCGTCGCTGAACTGCGCCATATTCTGATATTGAAGATCCGCGTTCCAACTGTCTGGCTCTTTGGCAATCTATTGATACTCATCTCCCTAATGAAAAATCCTCTATTACTCAGATTCTCCCCTTCTTTTTTTACTCCTACATCTCGTTCCTACTCGATTCCTCTCCACCAAATGATTATAGTTTTTCTGAAAAGTTCCAAGAATCTGCGCTGCGGAAATTGTTGTTTGCCAACGGGCGACGATTGACGAGAGAAGAAATCCGTAAGTGTTTGAGCACTCTCCTCAATCTCTCTTCTATCCGTCGACACTATCCCCTTTGATCAAACAAGAAGCACAGCTCGAAGCTGTTCTGTGCGGATTTTGCCAAGAAACAACGACGGTTTTCCACCCACTCATTACCGTCGACCTCCGAGCACGGCAAATAAATCCGATAGCACAGGTTATCTCTTTGAACAAAGGTTCGTTAAATGAAGTATCTGGGGTTAATGGAGAAAAACTGTTTTTGGAACCCTTGAACAATGGACATTTTCCAATCTTTCCGTACTCTCCATCACTTTGAACATAGTGACACACTGGGTAATCAGTAGTAGTCTCTTTCCTGAGGTATGCGGAGACTTGTGGATGTATGCCGACGAGTTAATGGAAAAATGGACATATGGCCAAATGATCGCGAAACCTCTTGGATAGGGGTATGTGACAAGAGAATCGTAATCAGCCGCGCTGGTGGGCGTCGCGTGCGACGTCGCGCCCGCAAGTGACCCTAGTTCTAG